AAAAGATTGCTGATATACTACAAAAGTAAGTTATAGCCTACAAAGTTTACTAATAGACTACAAAAATTAGTAGTGTCTGCTTTTTCAGACTACAATGGTTTGTAGTGTCCACTTTTTTCATTACAAAAGTTAATAGTGTCCGCTTTTTCAGACTACAATGGTTTGTAGTGTCCGCTTTTTGAGACTACAAAAGTTAGTAGTGTCTGCTTTTTCAGACTACAATGGTTTGTAGTGTCCGCTTTTTTCATTACAAAAGTTAATAGTGTCCGCTTTTTGAGACTACAAAAGTTAGTAGTGTCTGCTTTTTCAGACTACAATGGTTTGTAGTGTCTGCTTTTTTCATTACAAAAGTTAATAGTGTCCGCATTTTCAGACTACAATGGTTTGTAGTGTCCGCTTTTTTCATTACAAAAGTTAATAGTGTCCGCTTTTTGAGACTACAAAAGTTAGTAGTGTCTGACTACAATGGTTTGTAGTGTCCGCTTTTTTCAGTACAAAAGTTAATAGTGTCTGACTACAATGGTTTGTAGTGTCTGCTCTTTTCATTACAAAAGGTAATAGTGTCCGCTTTTTGAGACTACAAAAGTTAGGTCATTGGGAATATGGTTGAAGGATTGGGATGAGTTGACATTCTTCCACTTATGAATAGTTGCTTTTGATGTCAGGTCCATGGCTGTTTTCCATACTTGCAATCTGTCCTGTCTTTTCACATGGGAAGCCACTATCCCATGTTTGATGTTGGTCAACCTTCCACTCAGATCAGTATCTGTGTCCTATGTCTGACCACAGTCAATCTTCACATGATTTTTTTGGAGGGATAAATTCTCTGTCCTACCAATGCAACTTGTCATGTCTTTCAATAGCAAGACCAGTTGTCATTGTCCAAGCCTTCACCACTGGGGTCAGCCTTGAGTAGATTGATTTAAAGGTACCAAAAGTGAATTAAATAGGTGGTTTCGTCCTGTCTGTTTTCCAATGTCTATCCAGGATTCATGTGAAACACACCCTTTGATTAGATAGGATAGTGACTTCTCATG